GGTATGTTTTAGCTTTTTTGTCCCGACCATTGAAAATGATGAGGAATTTTGTGTTCGGGTGTGATCCAGCTTTTTTGTACCGACCATTGAAAATGATAAGGAACTTTGTGTTTGGGTGTGTTTCAGCTTTTTTGTCCCGACCATCGAAAATAATGAGGAACTTTGTGCTCGGATGTTTTAATTTTTTTTTGTCCCGACCATTAAAAACGATTAAGAACTTTGTGTTTCAGTGTGTTTTAGCTTTTTTGACCTGGCCATTCAAACTGATGAGGAACTCGGTGTTCTGGTATGTTTTAGCTTTTTTGTCCCGACCATTGAAAATGATGAAGAATTTTGTGATTGAGTGTGTTTCAGCTTTTTTGTATCGACCCTTGAAATTGATAAGGAACTTTGTGTTTGGGTGCGTTTTAGCTTTTTTGTCCCGACCAATGAAAATGATGAGGATTTTTGTGTTCGGGTGTGTTCCAGCTTTTTTGTACCGACCATTGAAAATGATAAGGAAATCTGTGTTCTGATGTGTTTCAGATTTTTTGTCCCGACCATCGAAAATAATGAGGAACTTTGTGCAAGATGTTTTAACTTTCTTTTTGTCCCGACCATTAAAAATGATTAAGAACTTTGTGTTTCAGTGTGTTTTAGCTTTTTGCCCCGGGACAAAAAAGATGAGGAGTTTTTTGTACCGACCATTGAAAATAATGAGGATTTTTATGTTCGGATGTTTTAACTATTTTTTTGTCCCGAACATTAAAAATAAATAAGAACTTTGTGTTTGGATGTGTTTTTGCTTTTTTGCCCCGGCCATTCAAACTCGGTGTTCTGGTATGTTTTAGCTTTTTTGTCCCGACCAAAGAAAATGATGATGATTTTTGTGTTCGGGTGTGTTCCAGCTTTTTTGTACCGACCATTGAAAATGATAAGGAACTTTGTGTTTGGGTATGTTTCAGCTTTTTTGTCCCGACCATCGAAAATAATGAGGAACTTTGTGCTCGGATGTTTTAACATTTTTTTTTGTCCCGACCATTAAAAACGGTTAAGAACTTTGTGTTTCAGTGTGTTTTAGCTTTTTTGCCCCGGCCATTCAAAATGATGAGGAACTCGGTGTTCTGGTATGTTTTAGCTTTTTTGCCCCGACCAAAGAAAATGATGAGGATTTTTGTGTTCGGGTGTGTTCCAGCTTTTTTGTACCGACCATTGTAAATGATAAGGATCTTTGTGTTTGGGTGTGTTTCAGCTTTTTTGTCCCGACCATCGAAAATAATGAGGAACTTTGTGCACTTTCTTTTTATAGATTTTTTTTTGGTCCCGACCATTAAAAATGATTAAGAACTTTGTGTTTCAGTGTGTTTTAGCTTTTTTGCCCCGGCCATTCAAAATGATGAGGAACTCGGTGTTCTGGTATGTTTTAGCTTTTTTGTCCCGACCAATGAAAATGATGAGAATTTTTGTGTTCGGGTGTGTTCCAGCTTTTTTGTACCGACCATTGAAATTGATAAGGAACTTTGTGTTTGGGTGTGTTTCAGCTTTTTTGTCCCGACCATCGAAAATAATGAGGAACTTTGTGCTCGGATGTTTTAACTTTTTTTTTTAGTCCCGACCATTAAAAACGATTAAGAACTTTGTGTTTCAGTGTGTTTTAGCTTTTTTGCCCCGGCCATTCAAAATGATGAGGAACTCGGTGTTCTGGTATGTTTTAGCTTTTTTGTCCCGACCAATGAAAATGATGAGGATTTTTGTGTTCGGGTGTGTTCCAGCTTTTTTGTACCGACCATTGAAAATGATACGGAACTTTGTGTGTGGGTGTGTTTCAGCTTTTTTGTCCCGACCATCGAAAAAAATGAGGAACTTTGTGCTCGGATGTTTTAACTTTTTTTTGTCCCGACCATTAAAAACGATTAAGAACTTTGTGTTTCAGTGTGTTTTAGCTTTTTTGCCCCGGCCATTCAAAATGATGAGGATTTTTGTGTTCGGGTGTGTTCCAGCTTTTTTGTACCGACCATTGAAAATGATAAGGAACTTTGTGTTTGGGTGATTTTCATTTTTTTTGTTCCGACCATCGAAAATAATGAGGACTTTTGTGTTTGGATGTTTTAACTATTTTTTTGTCCCGACCAAAAAAAACAATTAACAACTTTGTGTTTGGATGTGTTTTTGCTTTTTCGCCCCGGCCATTCAAACTCGGTGTTCTGGTATGTTTTAGCTTTTTCGTCCCGACCAATGAAAATGATGAGGATTTTTGTGTTCGGGTGTGTTCTAGCTTTTTTTTACCGACCATTGAAAATGATAAGGAACTTTGTGCTTGGGTGTGTTTCAGCTTTTTTGTCCCGAACATCGAAAATAATGAGGAACTTTGTGCTCGGATGTTTTAACTTTTTTTTGTCCCGACCATTAAAAACGATGAAGAACTTTGTGTTTCAGTGTGTTTTAGCTTTTTTGCCCCGGCCATTCAAAATGATGAGGAACTCGGTGTTCTGGTATGTTTTAGCTTTTTTGTCCCGACCAATGAAAATGATGAGGATTTTTGTGTTCGGGTGTGTTCCAGCCTTTTTGTACCGACCATTGAAAATGATAAGGAACTCTGTGTTTGGGTGTGTTTCAGCTTTTTTGTCCCGATCATCGAAAATAAAGAGGATCTTTGTGCTAGGATGTTTTAACGTTTTTTTGTCCCGACCATTAAAAATCATTAAGAACTTTGTGTTTCAGTGTGTTTTAGCTTTTTGCCCCGGCCATTCAAAATGATGAAGAACGCGGTGTTCTGGTATGTTTTGGCTTTTTTGTCCCAACCATTGAAAATTATGAAGAATTTTGTGTTCGGGTGTGTTTCAGCTTTTTTGTATCGACCATTGAAAATGATAAGGAACTTTGTGTTTGGGTTTGTTTCAGCTTTTTTGTCCCGACCTTTGAAAATGACAAGAAACTTTGTGTTCGGATGTGTTTGAGCGTTTTTGCCCCGACCATTGAAAATGATCAGGAAAATTGTGTTCGGGTGTGTTTTAGTTTTTTGGTCCCGACCATGAAAATGATTAAAAAAACTTTGTGGTCGGGTGTTTTAGCTTTTTTGTCCCAACCATTGAAAAAGTTGAGGAACTTTGTGTTAGTGTGTGTTTTAGCTATTTTGTCACAAACAATGAAATTGATGAAGATTTTTGTATTCGGGTGCATTTTAATTTTCTGTCCTGACCTTTGAAAAAGACGAGGAACTTAATATTAGGGTGTATTTTAGCTTTTTTGTCCTTCCGTTGAAAATGGCGAGAAAAATTGTATTTAGGCGAGTTTTAGCTTTTTGTCTCGAAAATTTAAAATGTGAGGACTTTTTATTCGAATGTTTTTAAGTTTTTATTTCCCGATCATTGATAAAGCTGCCGAATTTTAATTACGGATGTGTTTCAGCTTTTTGTACCGACCATTGAAATCGATAAAGAACTTTGTGGTCGGGTGTGGTTTAGCTCTCTTTGTCCCAATATTGAATATGACAAGGAACTTTGTGTTCGGGTGTGTTTTAGACTTTTGTCCCGACCACTGAAAATGATGAGGTACTTTTGTGTTCGGGTATTTTTTAGTTTTTCACCCCTCCATTGAAAACGGCGAGAAAAATTGTATTTTGGTGAGTTATAGCTTTTTGTCTCGAAAATTGAAAATTGAGAGGAGTTTGTTTCGGGTGGTTTAAGTTTTTACGTCCCGATTATTGAAAAAGCTGCCAAAATTTGTGTACGGGTGTGTTTTAGCGTTTTCTCCCAACCATTGAAAATGATGAGGAACTTTCTGTTCGGTGTGGGTTAGCTTTTTTGTACCGACCATTGAAAACAATGAGGAACTTTGTGTTCGGATGTTTTAACTGTTTTTTTGCCCGACCATTAAAAAGAATTAAGAACTTTGTGTTTGGATGTGTTCTTGCTTTTTTTTGCCCCGGCCATTCAAAATGATGAGGAACTCGGTGTTCTGGTATGTTTTAGCTTTTTGTCCCGACCATTGAAAATGATGAGGAATTTTGTGTTCGGGTGTGTTCCAGCTTTTTTGAACCGACCATTGAAAATGATAAGGAACTTTGTGTTTGGGTGATTTTCATTTTTTTTGTTCCGACCATCGAAAATAATGAGGAACTTTGTGCTCGGATGTTTTAACTATTTTTTTGTCCCGATCATTAAAAACGATTAAGAACTTTGTGTTTCAGTGTGTTTTAGCTTTTTTGCCCAGGCCATTCAAACTGATGAGGAACTCGGTGTTGTGGTATGTTTTAGCTTTTTTGTCCCGACCATTGAAAATGATGAAGAATTTTGTGATTGAGTGTGTTTCAGCTTTTTTGTATCGACCCTTGAAAATGATAAGGAACTTTGTGTTTGGGAGCGTTTCAGCTTTTTTGCCCCGACCATTGAAAATGGTGAGAAGTTTGATATTCGGAAGTGTTTTAGATGTTTTTCAGGTAATGATCATCGGAATGGATCGAGTCATATATCATATTGAAGCTTTTTAGTCTTGTTCAAATGACATGAATTTCTATCAAAAGTTGTTCCATTGTCGAGAAAAACCGGTTCTAGCCTAGTTTCGAGCAAGTGAAGCGATCGGGTAAGTTTTGTTTCTTATGAAAATTGGAAATTTAGGCTAAAAAACTTTGATTGAAGTAAACTAGTTTTGGAAGCTTCGCTTAGCGCTTCTTTGATAATAATACTTTTCGAAACAAATGAATTGACAAAAAAATTGTTCTCATTTTTTGTTCGTTAATAATTTTTGGTAAGACAACTTTTGTAGATTATACCTGGCTTAGTACCTTTACGTCCTTCATCAATTCACGCACACGAAACGCTTTTATTCCGAAGAAAAAGAAAACTTTTTCAAATGTTAATTTTTATGTGGTCGAAACATTCTGTGTTACTTGCACACCAACCGGCTATCCTTATTAATTCCTGGCTATCGAGACTAAACTCTAAAAAACTCATCCTAAATCATAACCACTTTATCAAATGAATATAATTTTTGTAGTTGATAATGTAACTTAGTTGACTGGCCTGCGAGTACTAGTGCACTGTAGAAGTCTCCGTCTTGCAGGATGGTCAGTTTGAGGGGAGTGAGGGTGAACCAGGGTCGAATGAAAGAGGACACTGGTGTCTCGAACAGAATAGAACACACTCCTAAAACCATTTTTCAAAAATTTGCTTGCGATACAGAAACAGGGTCATTATATTGCAAAACAGGGTCATTATATTGGTTTTGGGTAGCTCGCGAAGTCAGTTTGCTCAACCTAAAAGTCGACCTAAAAATTTCCGATTCTTTTTGAAAATCCGCTTATATCGAAAAAAAAAAATCCCAGAATTGCCAGGGGTAGGAAAAAGCGCCCAACTTTAATGATTTGAATGTAAATCAGGGACCAAAGTTAACATCCTACCCCCAGAGCCGTTTGGGGGGGGGGGGTGTTAACTTGGTTCTTAGTTAGAAATTTTCAGTCAATCAGAATCGAGCATTTTACATACAGTGCTTAACAAATTTAATGCGAATTAAGTGCTGGGGTGGAAGATCTTAACTTGATCCTAAATCAGTTCTAAGTTATCGGAACACATTTTGTTGAGTAAAAATATTTGTATGTGATGTATGTTCAAATTTAATTGGTTAAGTTCAACAAACCAAATAGGTTGGCGCCTGGATTGTATATTGAGAACTCCGCAATGATTGCTCTGGTGTCACTGTCCAGCCAACTGTTGTCAAATAGCCACTCTAACTTTTCTCTTGAGTTCAATTCAGACCCATCCAGCCTCACCACGTAGCCCCCTCCCCCATAAGTGTCAAACCAACCCATTAAGGGGTAACCCTGAAACACGCAAGTTCAGGATACACTGCACAATGTTTTCTTATATATGTATGGTATATTTTGGCGTTACCTTAGCATGTGTTCAAAAAAGAAAATCAAACATGAAGCTATATACAAACGTCGGATGAGCTTTGAGAAATCATCAGACAAGAGAAAATTTTCTCCTGAAGTTAAATTTTGCGGAACAACTCACTGAATTACCTCGCTAAATAATTAAAAGTTATACCCAGAGCACTTAAACCTCTGAATGGCTATTTAAACAAGCAGATACAAAATTGATCCATAACACTGCGGGATTCGAACCACCAACCTTTCGAGTGAAGTTCGTACATTGTATCAGCAAAATTAGTGGAATACTGACCTGTATCTCACTTGCGTCGGTGTACTGGAACGCCTCGTAGAAGCAGGGGTCATTTTCAGAAGAGGGTTTCCACTCCTCACAGAAATGTCCTTTCTCTTCAGCCCAGAACGTATAGGGCACAGAACATGACCTCAAGTTCCCTTCTATTGGATTCTTACAAAGACCTTAAAACAATTCAACAATGCAATACAATGTTAAACTCAAAACGCGTCGGAATTTAGAGACCACTCAGAAAATGTATTCATTCTGAAAAAATGTATTTCATTGTTCCTGCAAAACATGTTCAGATGGTATTTTTCCTCTTCGAACTGTTTTTCACTTTTATATCAGCGTTATTAGAGCCCTATATTAACTTACATATAAATAACATTTAAATATTTTCGAGCAGTTTCATTGTATTGCGTTATTTAAATAAATTGACAAACCACGTCGACAATTTTACTGCCTGGGAGGGCACCATTGGACCTACAGGTACTTCGTTCACAGGTATCTGAGAAGGAACAAGCTAACCTTTCTTCACTCTGACTTGTCGTATGATCGCGTATCCGAGGACGAAGTTGATCTTGTCGTCCAGGTGGCTGAAGAGACCGTAGGGGTTGCTCCTGTTGCCTCCCCTTAGCCCCCCGTACCACTTCTGCACGAAAAGATTGGGCAGGAAGTTGTTCATCAGGTACTCTTTGATGTGATCTATGCGACGGATCTACGAAAATGGAAGAAAGCTCAAGTAACAGCTACTAGTCTAATTAAAATCCGTGCATAGTCTGCATCCCGGGGCATTTTTTTCAAAGTGAAATTGTGTATTAGGGGTTCAAACATTTAAGCAACTGACAGTACAAAAAACTATGATTTCTGAATAGCAGATTTGGGAATGAATACGGCATTCTGATTGGCTGAGATAACTTCCACACATAACTGCCACCGCGAGCGATGATTCTCCTTTCAATGCTTACTTTGTAATAAAAAATTAGGGTAGCTAGTGCTTGTTAGTTGTTATATGAAAAGTAACTGACCTCATTAAGTCGTGGAAATCGCTGTCCTTCGAATACGTATTTGATCTGATCGTGCAGTCGGGAGGTGTTGTCGTCCCGCTCAGTGTAGATGACGGCATACACGAAACTGACTAGGACCAGATAGAATGCCACACTAATCAGCACCCCGTCCAACCTATTACATTGTATAAGCACTGAGTTATTATTAACCAAAGAGGCCTAGAGATAAATAACAATCTGCATTAAAATCATACGTTTCACTGTGAACTTTCTTGCGACGTACCTTAAGAAATGATAAAGTTGTAAAAACGATAAATGATAATTCAGGTTTTTGTAATTTCGTGTTTCGAGCATTGAATTCATGAAAAAGAAAAAACTGTTCTTTTTTTGATTAATTTGGCAGCCCGATTAGGATGAAACAACCTCCGTTGTTGTTACCTTTTCTGGGTGTACTGTTCTTCTTTGATGGTCTTCAGAACACTCTTCTTTTGTGCACCCACCTTCCCTTTGCTGTGAGACGGCAGGTATGAAGCTGAATCAAATTATTCAACAACTATGAGACTCAAAGAAGTGGCATTTAAAAAATATATTAGACTCCTCGTACAGTGATGTTTGCCAATATACTCCTCATTGTGTTCCAGCTCCACAAAACCCAGTCTGTCCAGCGCGTTGTTCTGGATGGAATCTTCCTCCGCAGACTCGGATTCTTGCATCATTTTGGACCTCTTCGGTTTGCAAACCATCGAGTAGAAGACGGCGATGGCCAGAATCTACAAACACCACGTGTGAATATGAAACATAGAATGAAACACCCAAGAAATGCATTTTTTGTAACTCAATTCTTTAAGCTCAAGTAATATACTCATCGGCGCGAAAGAGCACTATTTAAAAAAAAGAACATTATGTTTAACTTCCCCTATCTCCCACCCTTAAACTCGGCGTTGGCTCGTCGTCGCCTTATAAAGATTTCAGTTATATTCGTTTCCGACGCGTTTACCATCTCATTTACAATTCTATTTTTGTTCTCATTTGACGCTGCAAAAATTTGGGAAATGAGATTAAAACGCAGAATGCACAGCTCCAAAGCGTGTTTAGAGAGGAGTGTGTAGAATAGATCCGAATAAACGAGATCAGAGTATGGTTTACTTTGATTGGCTGGACGAGGATGATGGAGACGAAGATGGATCCTACCATGCTCACCACCCACGCCGATATCTTCGTCCTCCGCTGTGCAATCGCTGAAACACAGTAAATTGTCAGGAAAAAAATGACCGCTCACTTTGCTAGCAATTTTTCTACAGGTGCTCATGTGCAGGTTCTATAATTTTATAAACTTTTATAGTTTTTTTTTTGAAATTTGAAAAATTCCAATGATTTTTGTTTAAACTGAGGTTCAACTAAAATGAATTTGTGAATATTTTGTACGTCTCCATCATTGAGACACAAGCGTTCAATCTGTGTTAACAAGCAAACTAACATCCCCCTGCTGGGCTGGATATATTGATTGAGACCAGGAGAAGATATGCAGTGCATGAAATTGCCACCAGGAATGCCACAGTCCAGGCCAGGGCCAGCAGTTTTTGGGGGAACACGAAGCCCCTCACTCGCACTATTCGCATATCCACCTCGTGTAGCACGTCCTCAAGCTTACGCTCCGTCTGCAAAAAATGGAAAAAATTATAGCAGAAGATTTTCTATATGGTACGAATCGTTCTTTTGTTCATCATTTTATATTGCACCTTGTTTTTAATCCTCAAATCTTGATGTTTTGAAACAAAAATAATCTTTGCTTAAGCATTCGTCAAAAACATTGAGATAAATAAATCCCTTCGTTACCTTATAAAAACCTGGAAATTAGATCTGAACTTAAAATCTTGGCTATTTCAGATCTTGTCCAAACATGGTCTATGTTTCGTTGGGACATGCATGGACATGTCTGAATCAGGACTGAGGCAGGTATGGATTTTGTCACAAATGCGAGCCTGCCCAAGGCCAGATTCAGACCTGGACCATACACAGGTCAGATCTGCTCAGGTCTGCGCGGATCTCACCCAGATCTGACTCATGTATGGTCCAGGTCTGAATCTGGCCTTGAGCAGACCTGCATTTGTGATAAAAATCCATACCTGCCTCAGTCCTTATTCAGACTTGTCCATGTCTAAACGAAATATGGACCATGTTTGGACAAGATCTGAAATATACACGATTTTAAGAAGCTTAGATTGATTTCCAGGTTTTTTGATTTGGATGATTTTTTCGACTAACTAAAATTCATCCGAATCTCACTTAAGTCCATCCAAATCTCACTTAAATCTGTCTGAGTGTCCCTTAAATTCATTTCAAAGAAACCGGAGCAGATCATTTTAAATGTCTAAAAATCCGTTTTGAATCGATTCAAGTTGGTTTTTTTTAACAAATACGGCAAAAAACATTCTACTTAAAAAAATACTTGAAATATCTTATCCACAATTTTAAAAAAAAAACACATGCCAAATGTTAAAGAATTCAAAAAAAAAATGGTCCACATAAATCAGACTTTGAGCTCGCAAATATGAAATGACATTATAGAAAGTTATCATTAAATATTGGAGATTGGGCAAAAATCTATGTAACAAATCAAGAAATTGTTCGAGTTTTGAGCTCAAAAAAATGCAACAAAATTATAGAAAATATTTATTTTAAATCAGATTTTAGTATAAATCTAAAAAAAACGAGACAAAATTCAAAATAAATCAGATTCAACAGTCAAATTGAGTCAAATTTTCTTGGCTATTTTTACCGAAAGTGAGACGCGTAAAAAACTTGAAATTCAGTTAGAAAATTTCAAACAAAAATTCAACTAGGTCTTTGAGCATGTATGTTGCAGTTCAGGACAGATATGCAGTCTGACAACGAACTGATAGCACTGGGCATTTGAGTATTTTTCTTTTTTTTTGTTACATTATATTTTTGTATCATCCAGGTTGCATGTATCATATAAGTGGCACTTCAGGACAGATATGAAATTTCACAACGAATGGATTAACAGCGGACATATCTGTATTTCTTTTTGTATTTCTGTACATTTTTTGTATTGATTTCGGTACAGGTTTTGTTTGAGCAAAAGAAAATTCGTACGGGTGTTCTCATAACGTGTGTTTTGTATATCCTCTCTCGTTTCACCAACGGTTTGGTTTGAAAAATGATTATTTTTGCAGAATGCGGCAGAAGTCTGATGCTATATTATATAATTCATTGAATTACTTTGTTTTTGTTCACGCATGTTTTCGAGATTGACCGACTTTTCACTACCTTTTCAGCTGAACAAGCTACCATTTTGCTAGTTTAAAACAGCCAGATAAAATGAACAAAACTGGAAGTTTCAAACTCGTTTTTCTCAAATTAAGTTATATTTCGCTAAAAAAAGATGAGGACAAAAGTTGACTGAAATTTTACCGCAGCTTTTTTTTGCTAAGTTTCAAACCACAACTAGACCCTTAAACGGGTAAATTCATTTGGTTCAAAATTAGGAAGGCAAACAAGATCAATTGTAGTTATTCCTACATCAAATGACCCTCATTACCGGTTTTTTTTTAACTATCTAAATTGACTCGTTTTAAGGGTGTTATTTTTGTTCAAAAAATTGCAAAAATAATAGCACCGTAAAAAAGCTGGAAACATCCTGCCAATTTTCGTCCTTATCTTTTTGGTCACATATAACTGAATGTGAGAAAAAAAGTTTTGAAAAATCTGATTTAGTACATTTTATCCCGTTGTTTTAAACCATCACTATAGTAGCTAGTTGAGCTCAAAATTTTAGTGAAAATTCAATAAATCGCAAAAACCTGCGTGAACTAAAAACAACCATATTCAATGAATTAAATCATCAAAACTTGGCAAATTTTTGCTGCACACTGCAAAAAAGAATCACGTCAAAAACCCAAATGCATGAGAAACGAGAGAGTGTATAATTGTATAATTGTATAAATTTGAGAGTAAGTGACCTTGATAGCTTCTGTGTCTGCGTTCTCTCCCCAGATCTCTAGCATCAGTTTGTTCACTTCCAATTCAGCCTCCACCAGAGAAAGTCGTGCTTCTGAGCGTCCCGAAAAGCTAGTGGTTGATCTCCCATAACATAAATAGAAATTAAGACAGGGACACTTTTAGACAAAGACATGAACCGACATGCGGTCTATTGCTGAAAAATATGGTTAAGTTAACGGGCGTATGTGAATCAAAACCAAAACCAATTTATTTCAGTTATGACAAAGTAATCGAAGATTGAGAACAGGGGCGGATCTAGTATTTTGTCGAGTGGGGGAGGGGGCAGATCGGCTCTTCCAAATCGGCTTTCCCAAGTCACAATAAAGACCCTATTTTGACACACTTTTCTGCGCAGCTGGCAACATTTTAAAAAAGCAGGTCAAAAAAGACGTTTTTGGACCCTTTTTGGAAAATTTTGGCTCTTTGGTACTATTTTAAAAAATCCATTTTGACTGACCTACCCTAAAATTTTCTAAAAGCCGCGTAGGAATCAGTATATACTAATTTTGAGGGGAGAATGCGCGCCGAAAAATCGCAATTTTTGGTTAATATTTTCCAAGAAGTGTCCAGTTTTTGGCAAATTTTGCGCAAAAAATCGCGATTTTTTGGCGCGCGCTTTCCCTTCAAAATTAATATATATTGCCGCTTTTCGAAAACTTTAGGGCCAGTCAGTCAAAATAGATTTCTCAAAATAGTAACGAAGGAGGCTGGAACCTTTGGGTCCGCTGAGGGTCAAATCCCTAAGAGGGTGGGGCGTCCTCTAAATCTGCTTACTGATTGAGAGGTTGATTCTTAAAATGTAGCACAAATAAGTACCCAGTGTCAGAAGAATGACACAATTCTGGCGACACTCCATTCATTAAAGAACTCCTTCTGCTCTCTTGGGCTCCAGAATAACCAGCAATTGCTGATTCTCCAGTAGAAATTGGCTCGCACGGGTTGTTGATTCCATCGGCTCTGCAATAAGCAAAAAGGACAGGAGTATTAGAGTCAATTTGCTTTAATATCTTAATTCACTGTTTTGACAATTACTGTTTTAGCTCAGTAAGAATGCACATAAAAAAACCAACAGAGGGTCTATCTCATTATATCGTTATGTCCATGATGTCATACCCTGTTTTACGAGTGAAGTGTTCTCCTTCGAGTAATTTAAAATACAGCGTGTCATCCGCTTGGAGCAAGCGGTGCCTTGTCGGTGCCTGTGCTTTTTCCCACGTTTAGGTTTTGCAGAAACTCCAAACCTGCTTTTATTTGCTCTGAGTTTTTTTTGATTTCCGATTGTGTAGCTATTGTTCCCATCGGTGTAGCCATTGGCGCTTTATGGGTTAGCGTTAGTTTTGGTTTGATGCTTGTTTTTCCTTTTGTCATTGGCATAAATGGAATTGCATTTCAAAAACTGGAGGGAAGTGTACTGGTGTTCACTCTTATAGATGGTATAGTAGAAGCTCTTGTTTGTGGGGGTGTTTTCTTCGTGTTCTGATTTTTGTTAGCCGGTTCTTGCTTCGCCGACGAAGAAGTGTAAATGTCAGATTCCACAATGGGTCTTGGAGGAAGTTAAAGATTTTTCCTCGTGGCTTTGCAATTTCGCCCGACCTTTTGCTATGATGCCTGGCTTCGTTTTTTTTTGTTGTGGCCTTTCTTTTCTCTTCTGTTCTCTTGCTGGATCCTTCGACCAAGTGGTTTGCTCTTTTAAACTGTTTCTAATTTTTTGTCAATTCCGCTGTTATGTCCCTGTCTTTAGTTAGATCCTTGATAGATCCTTGGTCCATTTGGTTGCCTTTTGCCCATGTGCTATTTTGGGTCGTTTTTCTCTGTGGTATTTTGGCTTCTTCTTGACGTACTGCCCTCCACAAAGTCGCTTACTTGGATAGGTCTACAACTCCCGTAATTTTTTAGGTCTGGTTTCGCATAGCCACTATTCCTAAGAAGTCTGAGTTATTTCCCAAATTTTTGTACCCATACTGTGCGTAGTGTGTAAGTGAAAATCTTTCCGTCATGGGTATTGACTTTTTGCTGGAAAGTGGTTAGTCCTTTGTTTTTTGAGCTAACCAAATGTTTTTTCTGTCTACCTGTTTTATACGTTGAAGTAATTTTTTTCTGATGTTTTCACTGAACTTTCAAATCTCTGTTGCAAGGTAAGCTTTATTTTTGTATTCCTCGAACTACGGTACTCATTTTCGTCAAGGTCCAAGTTGACAATCTCGGGGTGGCTATCCCTCGGGACCCGGCATCGAATGACTACTTAGTCCTCCTACCAGCACTTCCTGTCGTACATTTGCTTCAGTGTTAGGTGTGGTCACTCTAAAGTCTTATGATCTGAAAATGCAGTCAATTTAATGTTGTCCCAACTCACATTGTTTTGGTTGCTTAGGGTTGCCAAATTTGACTAATGTTTTTTTTTCGCCTACACATCAACATTTCGAATGGTCAAATCTCTGTACCAGCTTGTGAGATGATCTCTAGGGTTTTGATTAGTTCCGCTACATCAAAACTCATTTTATAAGGCTTTTCTTTGGGTCTATTCTGATGATTCTTAATCAGAAACTTCAAGGTTTGTTTGTGTTAAGCGTTGTACTAATCGTAATGGCCTGAAGAAATTCAACTGGTGCGAAAACTTATCTACTTCATGTTTTCTTTGCAGTAGAGTTAAAATTTTTTCAACCTTAATGTCCATTATTGGTTGAACTTACTTTTTGTTAGAAACCCGTTATTCATTTTGTATCTTTGCATGAATTCGATTGCCGTAACAGCGGTTGTGTGTGCCACTACTTCAGTTGTCGTGTACTATGGAAAACTATCCACCGCTGCCAAAGTGTTCGCTTGTAAAATTTTACCCCGTTCCCTACAATCTTTGCAAGGCTGCCCCTGGCCCATCGCTACGATACGGGGAAAACATTTACCATTCGAAATTACACCATGGCGTCGGTTTCCCTGATTTGTGTAGGAATCACCACCCTGTAGTCGCTGATCAAACAATCGTCCCGGGCACTTAACGGATTTCTGATGTTGTAAAATTAAGAGCCTTATGAGTTTTTATGGCTTACCAATTGTGTGAGGCCACTGAGATGAATCGCTGTCCCAGAATTCATAGTTTCCACTTAGAGTTGTATCTTTTTTCGTCGTACTTCCAGTATTGTTTGTTATCGTTGGTGGTTTTTCAGTGTCCATTCACAGTACGTTCAACGTCGATTCATTAAGTGTTAATACATGTTCACTGACGTTTCTTCCGTTGCTACACCTGCTGATTACCTGACCGTCGAAATGTAGTTGTTTTTCGTTGATGCGCTGTTATTTCATGTAGGGAAATGTTTTTGCACTTCGATTATTTAGTGTTTTATCGTCTAGATCAAGAAAAATCTTTCTTTTTTATTTTTGCTCGGTCATCTCTCTCGTCTCGTTCTTGATGCCGTCTTTCGATCTCTGTCATACTTGTTCCCTTTTCTCTGTTTTCATCCATATGTATTATCTATCTAGGCGAGTCTTTCTGGTCTCGTACTCTTCCCAGTTGTTTCGCGATCTGAGCTGCATTACTGGCTGGCCTATGTTTTTTCCTGGTTGAGTTTTGTGTCTGCGTCCCCTTCTTAGTGTCTTGGCTTCTCTTTTTTTTCTGTCTGCTTCTCGTTTTTGTTCCGACTTTCGATACGAAAGTAACGGAATATTTGTGCTCGGGGTGGGTTTTTTTTTCTTCAGACAAATTTCGACTTTTTAACTAGCCATTTTTGACGGAATTTTCTTACATCATTCGAAATAAAAAAATTGTTGTCCTGAGCTTAAATTTGAAAAGATATTTCACCTGTGATCATTTTGCGTAAAGTTATGATGGTTTAAAGATTGCCATTTTGGCCATTTTGACCAATTTGGGACAATTAACGCGCGATATAATTCGCGCTATTAACGCGTAAGCGGAGATTTAATCCGTCTTATAAATCGTTCCAAATTGGTTGAAAGAAGCTTATTTGCCATAATTGATTTGTTACAAGGAACGAAATCTATCTTTTTGTACTTTATATGGCGTGTGGGGGGATATTTTTCATAAAAAATTTCAAATTTAAAAAAAAATTCATTTTATTTTATTTCATTTCATTTTTTATGTTATTACTGCCGATCCATAAACTTTAAAAGGCAGTCGGAACATTCAGGGCTTCGCCCTGATACGAGCACTCTTGTTCTACTTTAGCGACAATGGTTTTTGCTACTGCTTTAATTGTGGCAGTCCCCGGTTTGAGAAGACCCTGGCTTATTGTTCCGACTTTCGATACGAAAGTAACGGAATATTTGTGCTCGGGGTGGGTTTTTTTTCTTCAGACAAATTTCGACTGTTTAACTAGCCATTTTTGACGGAATTTTTTATGTCATTCGAAAGGTATTGTTGTCCTGAGCTTAAATTTGAAAAGATATTTTACCTGTGATCATTTTTCGTAAAGTTACGGGGTCTTAAAGATTGCCATTTTGGCCGATTTGGGACAACTAACGCGCGATATATTTCGCGCTATTAACGCGTAAGCGGAGAGTTAATCCGTCTTAGAAATCGTTCCAAATTGGTTGAAAGAAGCTTATTTGCCATAATTGATTTGTTACAAGGAGCGAAATCTATCCTTTTGTACTTAATATGGCGTGTGGGGGGATGATTTTCATTAAAAAATTCAAATTTTAGAAAAAACAAATTTCATTTTGTTTTGTTTCCTTTAATTGCTTAAATGTTATTACTGCTCCATAAACATTAAAAGGCGGTCGGAACATTCAAGGCTTCGCCCTGATACGAGCAGTCTTGTTTCGCATTTATATTTTATCTTCATTTGTTCTGTGTTTGTTTGGATGTCAACTGTTTTGTCATTGATATCCATAATTTATCAGCAAAATATGTGTATTACTTCATGTTTTGGAGGTTAACATATTGTGTTGAATTTCAAAATGGTAGCTGACTGTTTCATTGAAACGCTTAGAACGAAGTCAAGTTGTTGACGCTGCTCTTCACGATTGTCAGTCAAACTCTATGGTGCTTAACTCCGATTGGCTATTTTGTTTTGCTATAAAATTATTAACTTTTCTAGCTTCGAAATAGATGCGGTAAGTCTTGCAACTTAAAAACTCTCATCAAAATTGCTGTCAATAGCGCCGGGCTGACTGGACTCTTTGATATAAAATCAATTAATCTCATTTTCAGTCCCGGCAAATTTTTTATGTTAAAGCTGGAAGAAAAGTCGGTCAATCAATATAGTTAGCCGCGATTGTACTGCGGTTGTATTTTCCGATGCTTGACGATGAGAAAAGAGCTTGATGATCGGTAATTATTGTTAAAACTCTTACTTATAAACCTTATTTGAGGTAATATAGCAACAAGACTACACTTAATAAATCCAATTTGTTTGTAAGAGTGCTTTCCTTCATAATTCTTTAAAAAATTTAAGCGTACGAGGTTGAAATCCAACCTTCAATTGAGTATTGTTCCAATGTTGCGCTCAACCCAACAGTTGACGCCTTGTTTCTATGTTTTTGTCGAAATGTTTATATTCGCTGATTTCAGCCAATACTCTGTTGATTCTTTTGAATGTTGGTTTGTGATTCCACTCCCATTAGAAATTATTATTTTCCTTATTTTTAGCAGCGGTCTGAGTGGTGCTGTTAAGCAGCCAGCATTTAAATATAGATTGGCAAGTGGTGTTTTGATCCTCTCAAAAGACTTTTTTTTGTTGTTTGTATATCTTGGGAGATTATAAGTTTTAAATTGACGCCATTTTTGTTAATTAACAGTTTTGTCTCGTCTGCATTATTGTTGAATCCTATCCACTCTACTATACTGCATAAGTTTACATTTCTTCAATGCCCTGACTTCTATTCTGAAGTTTAGTAAATCCTTTATCACGCCCTCTTCCGAGCAGTGCTTTGTTTGCCTTTGAATTATGCTTCCCTTTGGTTCTTGCTTTTTGTTGAACGGTTTTCTTGGCAAACTTGAGTGCCTCTGGCTATGGTGTTTGATTGTGTCGCTGTGTTCGATTGCCTTTTCCCGTCTCATTGCATTATTGAATGCTTCTCTTAGTGTTCTTGTTTCTGCCAGTAGTTTCTCTGAGATTTAATCATTTAGCATGTGCATGCTGTAAAAGTATCCCAGACCCATTCTTCTTCTCGGTTTTCCTGGTCAGCTTTGCATGCTAATTCCACAAGTTCTTAGTGGAATTTTACAAGTCACTAATTTTTCTGTTGAGCTCCACCATTAAAATTGTACCGTTTGAAGTTTCTTCGTGAAAAGTAAGTTTTCCAACTCTGTTCATAGGTATCTGGTCGTAATCGTCCGCAAATCTTTGTTCAATCTTCGTTGTTGGAATTCTTTTTAGCTTTAGCGGGGGTTTATCTCACGGGGTTGAGCCACATAATACGCCCTTATTTTTTAATTGACCTTTTTTGTCCAAGAATTTAATTCGTTTCTCCTGGTTTCTGTATTCCCGACCTCCTCCTTGAGGTTTTATTTCAGTGGTGATTTCTTCCCCAAATCTTCGAATTGTTGGTAAGTGCCTTATAAATGGTAAGTTCTTATAAATGGATTTTTGCTTTGGCGAACCTTGCAGTTTGAAATCCAATTATTCATTTTGACCACTCCATTGGAGGTTCCGTAGTGTGTTTGGGCCAGAAGGCGGAATGTTCAAAGGGTTCGTTTTATCCTACAAAAGATTTATTATACGACGCTAGTCTTCGAACTTGAGTTAAGGATAAGAGAAAGCGAATAAGGTCTATGGCAACTAGTTCGTAGTTCACATTTAAGACAAGAGTTAGTCTTCTTTAGACTAACTTCTTCAGCTGGTGCCGTGAAGGTCACCTAAGTAATTTGGCTTTCAAGGCTGAACAAAAACTTCACGTCAAAATTATAGCATTAATTAAAGTCATTTATTCGGACGGATAACATACCCCTTGCTCTGGCCGTTGTTTTGCTCGTTGTGCGGCTCTTCTTCAAAATCAAACTCCTCAAATTCGCCTTTGTTCTCGCTGTCCTCTATCATTTTCATCTCTTCCCTCTTCAGTCTGTCCTCTTTAGTGACTGGACGGGGTCCTATCTTGCGGAACATCTGGACCAGCAGAAGAGACACAGGCACGACCAAAAGGGAGCTCATGAAACTCACCACGAACTGAAACAATTAGAACACAATTGGCCAACGAGTTAAAGTACTAAATGTCGCACAATTTCATAGTATGAAACAACTGCTAGTCGCACAAACTCATACAACAAAAAATGCAGGTCACACAATTTCACTCTGTGAAAAATGCTAGTCATAGAGTTATCAAACATTTTTCTGGACGTGTGAAAATGCTAGTTTCACAAGAGTGAAATTGTATGACTAGCATTTTTTGCCAACCCGGGATTTTAAAGTAACTGCATAACAGTCTCTCCGGTGTTTCGATCTTATCAAAACCCCGTAAAAAATATTAAAATAGAACAATTTTTAAAGGTTTGGGGCTGTTTTTAGGTTTTTTAGACCTATTCAATCCTGAAAAGATCTAAAAGATCAGAGTCATTTTACTCAATGGCTAGTATTAACGCCTTGAAAGCGAATTGCGCATACTTTTGAGGAGTCTGACTCACTACAAGTACCTTTACTAGGTTCGAACAGAATCGTTAAAAACAGAATCACCTCTTGACTTTTGAACGCAACAGGTCCAATGCTGTACGTTGGTGCAGATATGGCAACCTGTCTGTCGTAATACATAGCCGATCCCGTGAACTCCAGGAGCAGCAGGCAAAGACAGCAAATGAGACGCTGGCATCGGGTGAAGTTGGACTCAGGCGGTCGGAGGAAAAGAGAAAAATATAGATGATCGTCATCCAATTTGTCTCGGGCCTTGCTTGCGAATAGATGCTGGAATGCTTGACGTTGGTCTGGACTAGCCACATGCAACATACGGTCAGTGAGTCCATCGCCTTCGCTGAGAGACCACCATTTATGAGCCAGAAAGTAGCTTCTCGCTCCTGTCTGGACGTCTCGGATTAGGACCTGGTCCAGATACCAGCTGTGGTTCCTTCCCCTTCCACTACAGTCGATCCAGATTCGAATCAGATTGAGAGGACCCAATGATCTGAAAAGAGTGAATTGAGAACTTAGTTTTTTCGGGGCTGAAAAATGAGGAAATTACAGAAACAATCGCAATACGCTCTAAATATTAGTTACACGTATAGGAGAGTCCTCTTACAAGTCAGGTAAGCGCCTCTTATTTTTTGGTGGGGTAGACTTCTAGAATATTCGATTACTATATACCCTGGCGTGGTCATTAGGAATATGTCCTTCTGGTCTCTCTGAAGAATCTTTCTCTCCCCATCACTCAGTCTCCGCACCCCACTCTCCCCGTAGTCCCCGTACAACACGAAGTACACTCTGCTGCTAGTGCCTGCCCCCTTGCGAGTGCCTGTCTGCACCTCTACTTCGTATATGTAGCTGTCTTCTGGTCGGTTATCCTCAAGTGGAGCAGCCCCAATCTTGAACAGAACCAAAATTTTAAAAAATATATTAGCAAGAGTAGCCGGTTGGTGGGCAAGTAAAATAGTACAGAAAATTCTGCCAACAATTATTTCAAAAAACTAATAAAAAACGTTCTTTTTTCCCTTCAATTTTAAGCATTTTTGTGTGGGGTGTGATGAGAGGAAAAAAGAGATCGTTGTGATGAGAGGAAAAACAAAAATAAGAAAAAATCAAATAGTTTTCCAACATTTTTCTATTTTTTTTTTGGAAATTTAATGGAAGTTTTCAGAGCAAAAAAGCGGTAATGATGCGGAGATTTTCAAGACCGAAGTAAAATGTTTTCCTGTCATAACACCTGTTCGTTCACTTAACTCGCTCAAAAATAGGCTTAAAAAAACAAAATTTTTTCCCGTAAACATTTTTGTTCACACAATGATCAATTTACTAGGAACAGTAAATTTCACTCTGAAAAGCTCAATTTTAAGTTTGTTTATGTAAATTATCCGATACAACCATGGAGTTTTTGTAGGTGTAGTTTTTTGTTTTTTTTTCAACTCAATTTTTCAGAAAACATTTTTGACTTGTTTTTTTCAGCAAATGTTTTTTTATGACTGCTGCTTGGAAATTTCATACATGTCAATTCAATTCAATTATTCGATACAGTGAATAAATACATACGTAATCACTCACTGCAGCAGGATAGCTAGAACAGGCTTTTCAACCTAACAAGCAGCTACCCTCCGGGATAACTATCACAATTAAGTAACGACAACGGGTAAACAAATCAGAAAAAAATTGTCGACCAGCTGTACATTGTCTAAAGTATAATTTCTTTTGAAAACCTTTAAAAGTTTTGACAGCTGAGCTGTTCTTGAGAGTACGGTTCGATTTTATCGGGTAGGAGTTTATTTGACATCAAAAAATTGAAACATTTAACAATTTTGCATGAAAGGGAGTTTTCCATAGTTTTTGTCCTACAGCGATAAAACGGAATCATTCCGTTAGAAGTAGAACGTGTATTTCGTTTATTACTATAGTTACTGACGTTTAGAAATTTCCAAATTTTAGTTATCTTTTTACTTATTCGGCCCAAATTTGTCATGAAAGCAGGCATGAAAACGCTCGAATCTGATCAGTTGGAATCACTTGAATTGTCTAAGAACAGAACTGACAATTGGAATTTTTTTTGCGTTGAGTACTAAAGGATTGATTGATTTCTTTTGGGGTTCGGTAAATATGTATCGCGCAGCATTAATAATCTAAACAGTTTTTACAATTACTGTTATTGAGTTAGGATTTCAATCTCAAGTTAAGATTATGCTTTTTCAAACGAACACCCGTATATACGGTTATAGTACGATAGTCGGGTTATACGATTTTATGATTATACGTCAATTCACATATCACTAACCCTTTCGATATCATTTTTGTCCTTGGATCGTAAGTAAAGAAGAAGAAAGAAGAACACCATCCAAACTGAGCCCAACAGAAGATACACAGGGTACATGACTCTGGGGTCAAACGCGGCCGCCGAGAAATCGACCTTAGGAAAAGCAGGAATGACCGCTCCTGTGAAACTTGACAGATGGTTACACGCGCACCATGTCTTGTCATCATCACTCTCTTTTAATACCTGACAACCTTGCGTTGAATAGGAGTCCGTTTCTCCCGGCTCAGTGTACATACAAGCCGTGGTTTTTACGATCAGGTCAAAAGAACAAGGCAGAATTTTGTTGGTGTAAAAGGGCTGTGGATAGTACATTTCAAAACCTTCGTGAACTTTGTGTTCGCCCCACACGCATATATAATAGTCGCCATAGTTGTGACTTTCCATCCAGTTGTCCACCACAATTTTGAACTTCCTGGCCTCCGAGCACTCGGAAGGATCAGCCAGACACTCCTCGGAGTTCTCGTCTAAAATTAATTGGAAACTAATTACTTAAAAAGTTCATTGATGCGTAATCCATTCACCTCAACAAAATTTATGCGATACTTCCCGTTGATCTCTCAACGCTTCCTCCTCAGGGATTCGACCCCCTGCCGACCCAAAGGCTCCCCCCTTTGGTATTTTTTAGAAATCCATTTTCAGCCGACCGACCCTTAAACTTTTCTAAAGGCGCCTTTGGCGCCAATATATATTAATTTTGAGGTGGGAGCGCGCGCCGAAAAAACGCGATTTTTTGGTCATCATTTTCCAAAAAGTGCCTAAAAAGGCCGTTTTTTTTTTACTGTTTTTCAAAGTGTCGCCTGCGGCGCAGAAAATTTGGCCAAAACAGGGACTAAACTTGCTTAAGGAGAACTCAAAAATCAAAAATCAATTCGGTCGACCTAAAAAAAAAGGTCAACAAAATTTTCGAAAATTTTTTGAAAATCCGCCCCCCTCGAGAAAATCCTAGATCCGCCCCTGGTTAACTTACCTATTTTTGGAAATTTTGTTTTGTTTTTCCTGTTTTCCGTGTAGCAAAATATTTTGAAATGAAGTAACACACTTTGAAACAAACTTTGAGTGTCAAAAAATTTAACTTCATACTGGAATACAAAATATATACATTTTACGATTTGTTAAGTAAAAGTTCCTTTTGTTCGTTAAAAAAGGTTTTTGCTTAAAACGTGGCTCAAATTTCACTTTGTACTAAGGATTGACAAATGCTGCGCAAAACGCACAGAAAGTTCTCACCAGATTAAGGAAAACTGAATTTTTTTTCAAATTCTGTCGTTTTTTGTCCTTATTCTGATGAAATGATTTAAGCGAAAGCCTAAATTTTCTTCATTTTCGATAAGGTAGTTAGTTAGTGTTAAAAATTGATAAAAACTAATGTTGTGATTGGATCTTATTTTGCATTTATTGCAAACCTTATTTGCCTTAATTAGATTTAGATAACAGGTCACTCTTATATGACCTTCACTGGCCATTCTCTCCGGCGGAGAGAATGATCTCTCATTGTTTTAATGTTTTAACTTACCGACTAATTCACTTTAATCCTTTATTCTTTTAATAGTTTTAACTTAGAATTAGCTACAACAAAGTGACATTTTATCATGGCGCAGTCAAATAACGAATCTAACGTGAGAGGAATACCTTCATTTTAGCAAAACCATACTGTAGATCCCCCTATTCCCAGGGAAGATTGGAGCAATCTGTTTCACTTAGCTATAATTGCTAAAGAGAATATAGACATAGAAAACTTAATAAATCCTTCGGAGAGACATCACCCTCAACCTCTAAATTTGGAAAATCCGATGGACGGTGAAACAGATAACCAAAGACAATCGAGAATGGAGAGAAACACCCAAGAACAAAGACGACATGACGAAAAAAAATCAGCCTCCATTAAATCTGAAACGAAGAAATTCAATGGAATGCGACTAGAAGAAGCAGATAAAAAATTAAGATCAGTCCTATACCTAGCATTGGGAAACGAAGGAAAAAGGATTTTCGGACAAAAATTTACCAAGGTGAAAATCTTACAAATCTCTTTTAAAGAATTTTGGGACTTCCTAGCGATCGCTTTCGTAAGAAAGACAAACATCACATTTGATCGACATAAACTGCTAAACCCAAAAACAACGGGATAGAGAATCGCTGGAACAATTTTGGGGTGCCTTAGCAGAAATGGCTAAAAAGTGCGACATAACCGCAGGAGAAGAAGAGTGGATACGAGACATTTTCATAAATAACATGAAAAACTACGTCATCCAAAGGAAACTGCTAACAGAAACTCTTCCCCCACGAGAAGCACTAAACGTAACACTCATAGATGAAAAGGGAATTTTAAATCACCTAAAACTAACAAACAATTTTAAATCCAATGGATCATCCGTACAAAAATCACACAGCCATCTTAACGTTAAAAGAAGGCAATACTCAATATTGAAAAAAGCAACAACTGTTTAAAGTGCGGCGGAATCTTCTCAAAAGACCACCTAGCAGCTTGCCCAGCAAAGGGCACTACCTGTTTTTCTTGTAAATATAAAGGTCATTTTACCAGACTTAGTAGATCTCGCCGTAAAAATGTAAACATTGTAAATAGTCAAATTGTAGATAATACAGATTTTAATCCGTCGGATATTCCGGATGTAAAAACAAACCATGTAGATAGAGAATGTTGTGGCGTCATAAACGCATGGTCGGAATTTGGACAAAGCGAAAACGACGATTATTCTGTTTTAAACGTAACTACAATTTTTGATGAAGACGAAAAAGAATTGAAGAAATTATTGAATATTGGCCTCGGAAAAGAAAATCAAGTAATTTTAAAAATACAAGTGGATTCAGCTAGCCCGGTCAGCTTCTTCAAGAAAAACGTGTCACACAGATTGAAACTACGAGACTTTTACTTGAAAATCTATCCGGTGGACAAGGCAACCAAGGACTTTTACTGTGCATTCACGGATAACTCCATAAACATTTCCAGAAAGGTGATACTTCCGATCTTCTCAAACGGTTGGTCACACAGCGACTGTCATTTCTTCTTGACCGAGGGACGCGAGAGAAATATCTTAGGAAATGACAATCTACCGAAAGTGGGGTTAGAAGTCTCACAGAAGTACTTCCCGCATTTCCAGACTAACAAGCAGTGTAAGTCAAAAAATTCCATCTCTCAAACAGACAAAGATAGGGAAATTCTAAACATATCAAAAACGTTTAAAAATTTATTCCTTCGGCTTGGGAAAATTAAAAACCAGATGAAAATCACCCATTTTCACGAACCCCTAAAACCAATCCAACTAAAAGGAAGACGAGTCCCCCTACACTTACTGGATTCTGTTAAGACAGAACTCAACAGATTAAAAGACAAGGGACATATTAAAAAGCTAGAAAACCGTTACGAAGATCGTTTTATCAGTCCAATAGTCATTACTTGCAAAAAAGACAAATCCATCATGTTAGCTTTGGATTCAAAGTTCATAAATAAACAAATCTACAAGAACAAATAACAAATGCCGAACATCCAAGAACTGGTAGACAACGTCGCGGCGCAAATTTCTAATGATTCCGTTGGAGAAGTGTGGTTTTCTAATTTAGACCTAAAAAACGCATACAGTCAACTTGCATTAGATAAATTTACTAGCGATCAATGCAATTTTAGTATCGTGGGCGGTAATATTACGGGTACTTACCAATTTTTAACCGGCTTTTACGGACTAGATGATATGCCTAACGAGTTTCAAAGAGTAATGGATTCTACGTTAGTTTCTATCCCTTTTACCAACTGTTACTTAGACGACAGTTTAATCGCTTCAAAAGAAACCTTTTTAGACCACAAGAACATTGTGTTAGAAATTTTATCGACACTAGACGAATATAACTTCGCGGTCAAATGGTCAAAATGCAAATTCTTTCAAAAAGAAATAGAATGGTTGGGATTCAAAATCTCAAAAACAGGAATTATACCTTTATTTGATAAATCGAAAGCAATAAAGGACTTACCTGTTCCAAAGAACTTGAAATAACTAAGATCATTTTTCGGATCTATAAATCAGTACGTCAAGTTTGTCCCAAATTTAGCCTCTCTAGGAAGCCCACTTCGACCGCTGCTCAATAAGAAATCGATCTTTCAATGGAACGACGACCATACGAAAGCGTTTGAGAAAATTAAACAAGAAATTGTAAATCTAACAGAGAATACCCATTTTGACGTAAAACGCAACACTAGAGTAAAAATGGACGCGTCTCACAGTGATTTGGGAGTTTGTCCCAAATTTAGCCTCTCTAGGAAGCCCACTTTGACCGCTGCTCAATAAGAAATCGATCTTTCAATGGAACGACGACCATACGAAAGCGTTTGAGAAAATTAAACAAGAAATTGTAAATCTAACAGAGAATACCCATTTTGACGTAAAACGCAACACTAGAGTAAAAATGGACGCGTCTCACAGTGATTTGGGAGCTTCCCTTAAACAACTCCCTGGGAATGACTGGAAAACAATTTCTTTTGCCACTCGTTTTTTGAACCCACACGAGTCAAAATATTCTACGAACGAGCTCGAATTGTTAGGGGTCGTATGGGCCGTCGAACACTACAAAAACTACCTTTACGGATCGGAATTTACTGACCACGAAATTTACTGACCACTAATTACTGACCACAAAGCTTTACTTTCCGCCCTCTCACCAAATCACGGAAATAAAACATATCATAGTAGATTAACAAGATGGGTGGACAGATTGTTACCTTTTAATTTTACAATCAAACATCTAGCAGGAAAGGATATGGGCTTCACTGACCCTAATTTCTAGGATTCCATCTGGAAAAACCCTCCCAATATCTCATTACGACGACGAATTTGTAGTGGCAAATATTAATAAGATTAACAAATCAATTAATCCGTCGGAGAAACAAAGAATTACCTGCTCAGCCATTGGTTCAAATCTGGAAAAATCCGATTGCGCCAAATTACGTAATTACTTAATAGCGTCAGTACTAAAATTACTAAACTCGACTTTCCCAATTTGTTCATATAATCACAATAGAACGGAATTTTGTACTTCAAACTATATTCCAACGGATTATTCAAACACAAACCCAATAATTGTTTCTATTTCTAATCCCGCATTTTTTTTACTTCTTAATTCTTAATTGTAGATTGATTAACTCGCCTGTAGATAAAAAAATTGTAGATAATGTTATTATGAGTCATAAGAATATTGTAATTAATCCCTCTACTTCCGGTATTTCAGTAGATTTAGATCTCCCGTTATTACCTGACCACGCTAATCTCGTTGAGAAATACCGCGAAAGCTTGAAGTTGCCGGATCGACCCTTGGACTTGAACATCCTCTTTAACGTCAAGCTGGTAGCCCTTTTGACAGAAGACGACCCCATGTTGAACCCGATAGTCAAGGCACTTCAAAACAAAGTGGAGAAGATTAAGGCAAATTCCCCTTACTTAAACACTTCACCAGAGATTTA